GTGGAACTTTGAAGCGCATTCAAAACTTAGCGCATGAGATGGCAGATGGATTTGGGCTACTACGGTGTACCTACTACCTAATCCGACAAAATCCGAGAAGGGTCATTTTGCTTGCCCACTGCCTTCAATCAAGACATTTTTCGAACAAGAGTTTATACACTTCATTGTTGGCCGAGAGAGTCAACTTCTAACGCTCGCCACTACCGTACTCGAGATAAATGGTCCACTCGGAAAGAGTACGGTACGGCGAGAGTTTGAAATTCAGAGGATCATAAATGAAGGATTTAAGATGCAGTCAGAAAAATAGCTCAGTCAAGCCCTCCCCATAACTTTCTACATGAAAGCCTCAGATTTGCCTGAACACGACTCAAAAGCCAAGTTACATTTTCTTTCTGGTTACCGTTACTTTCAGACCGCCTTGGGAACAATTCAAATCGAGCCACTGGAACGATCACTCTGAGCGACGACGTACTTTCTTCTCCTCGGTGGAACGAACTGTATCAAAACAGCCGTGGATCGCTTCGCACTATGGCCGGATCGCTACGATGGAGAGGGCATCGCCGCGAAAGACGCAGTGTATCGTTTCGTGACCCACCTTTGGAACCGCCATCGTGCTTAGCGTTTAAATACGGAGCTCCAGATGGTGTGCGAACTCCAGAGTCGGGAGAGACCGTTCATACTCGTGGCTCAGCTTTTATTGGTGATACTTCTTATGGCGCGACGTACAGATTCCCGTCATCGTTTGAGATTGAAAAAATGAAGAACTCATAGTATTTTGTCGTTTTTTTTTCGTAATCGTTGTTGAAGTGAATTACACGCTTTGTCATTGCTCCTTTGATTTGCCGTTTTTGGAATAAAAACTGATTAGAGCACTTTCAAAGGTATGACCTGCATCTGCTTGTAATGATCTGATAACATTCCCACACGGGACAGCTGAATACCTTCGCGCAAAGCGGCCGTTTCACTGCTACAGCTGTAGAAGAGCAAAGACACGTCGGAGTTAGAACTATAGCTTTTTTGCACCATCTTGTGCTGAAGGTGGGAGACCGCTTTTCCAAAACTTCATGGTATGCTGAATTTGAAAGTCGAAGTGATGTCTTTGAGGATAGGAACCGATTTTTTACCTACTTTTTCAAGGACCTGGTTCTCGGCGATGCTTCTATAG